ACATATGTGTGCATATGCATGTGTGTATAGATGTGTGTGTTCATATGTGTGTACATGTATGTGCATATCCATGTATGTATAGATGCATGTGTGTATACACGTGTATAGATGTGTGTGGAAGTCAGAGGGTAACTTACAGTGAGTCAGTTTACTCTTTTCCCTGTGTGGGCCCTGGGAATTAAACTCAGGTTGTCAGGCTTTGATTCACTGAGTTATCTCTCAGTAGCCCCAACCCTCAGTATTTTTTGTTTCTTGATTCAGGGTTTCCCTGTGTAACAGCCCAGACTGTCTTGGAACTCACTTTGTAGAGCAGGCTGGCCTCATACTCACAGAGATCCCCCTGCCTCTGCTTCCTCAGTGCTGGGATTAAAGGCGTGCCCCATCACCACCTTGTCGGACCCCAGGTCTTAACTCTGACATGATACTGCTGAGCTCCTCCTCACTCTCACACTGTGGGGACTCTCAGGACAACTGCAGATTCGAACTGCCCCCCTCTGTCTGTTCTCCCTTCCAGACACCCTTCCCTTCCTCCAGGGCTTCTAGACACTGCACTGGGCCTCCCTCCCACATCTTGCCTGGTCCCCACAATGCCAGCCCCAGCTCTTAGCCTGTGAAGAGCTGGAAGGGGCTTCTTCCTCCGTGCAGGGACAGAAGGGAAGGCAAGCCTCTGTGCAGGTGAGCAGGCTGTAGGGACACCAGATCTAAGGACTGTTTTGCTTGGTTCTGTTCCTTTCTCCTTTAACAGTACCCGTGACAATGTGGCTTGACTGTTCCTAGTGGCAGATCTGAGCATCCACGGAAGTGAGTCTGCAAGGAGCTGGCTTCTCCAGAGAAGAAGGAAGGTGACACTGTCCTCTTTGTCCCACGGGCTGTGAGGATGCCAAGTTTTCTCCTGGAGTGACTTGTCAGGTGGCGGAAGTCCATTATGGCTGCATCTCAGCATTGTACTGCCCAAGTTCCAGACCTGGTCAGAGTCCACGGCCCAGTCTGTGTAGTCCTCTCAATATTCCGTCTGCACCTACCTCCCTTTACTGAATGAAGTGCCCATGGCAAGACAGAGTTTGCTATGCAGGTCCATAAATCTGTTGGAAGAGACAACACTCCAACCCTTCACAAACAAGCATGGGCCCAAAGAGATACATATGGGAGGGGCAGGTGTGGACAGCGTCCAGGTGTCAAAGCTGGGATGTCCGGATGTGAGTTATAGAGAGTACTTCAGTCATTCACCCAACCAACATATGATAATGATCAAGCGCCTGACACAGAACACCCTGTGTCAGGGTGCTTGTCTAAGTACCTAAACTCAGTACTCCGGATAACTTCGAAAAGCAAGTACAGCTACTGCTCCTCAGTTTGGGGATCATAGCTGAAGGTATGGTCAAGGTCACCTGGGAAGATACAGAACATCCAGGCCTAACAGGCTGCTGGGGCTGAGCCTTCTTTCTTAGTCATGTCCCTTGTTGCAACCTCTTCATGGGGTGACAAGGGCTAAGTGCCTTCAATGGCTTTCTGACTGTTCACAGGAGCCCTCGAGGGAGGAGGTACACAGCTTCCCCTTCACTCTGGGGAACTGAGACCCAGGGTTAACGATCCTTCCATGGTCACAGTCACAAGGAGCTGTCTGCTGGACTCCTCACTTGGGCTCACAGGAAGGGCAGGGGAGGGTTCTGTGACAGTCACCTGCCTGCCACGTCCAGTCGCTGCCCACACCTCCTGGAAGCTGCCTTCCACTCTCCTTCATCCCAGACAGGGCAAGCACCAATTTTCCCAACCTCTGCCTCATCAGCTCCATTCACAGCCACCTGTCACTGTGGGGAAGGGTGGACCGTCCTCTTCTCTTCTACCCTTTGGGAAGACTTGTTGCTGTCTGGGAAGTTCTGCCTCTTTTCTCTGGCCCCATCTATCCATTGAAACAAGATAAACCAAGCTTTGCTCCTGAGCGAAGAGTTCCCACATTACGTCCCTTTCTGACTCATCGTCGTTCCCACAGGGCCACAGCAGTTAAGTGCTCAGAAGGAAACCTGAGTAGTTGTTCTTTGCCTCTGGGGCACTGTGGGATTCAGCTCTCCCCTAGCTGTCCTTCTGTGTCCCTTCCTTGCAGGGTTCCTCCAGCCGTGGAGGATAAGTTCCTGCTGGGTTTCATTTCCAATGACCAACCCCTGCTCACCTGCAAGATCAACTCCATCTTTTTTCACCTGTAAACTCAACCCCACCCCTGCTCACCTGCAAGCTCAACCCCACCCCTGCTCACCTGTAAACTCAACCCCAATCCTGCTCACCAGCAAACTATACCCCAGCCAAACTCTTCAACCCAAGCTGAACAGCTGCTTGTCCTAGAGGCAACCTGCCAAATGCTCTTCTCAAGAACCCCACCCTTGACCTGGCCTTGGTGGTACACATGTTTAATCCCAGCACTTGAGGCAGAGGTAGGTGGGTCTCCGTGAGTTCAAGGCCAGCCTGAGCTACAAAGTGAGTTCCAAGACACCTCAGACTGTTACAAAAAGAAACTCTGTCTAGCAAAACAAAGCAAAACAAAAAGAACTTCACCCCTTTGGGGATGGCTCCTGGTTAAGAGCACTGGCTGCTCTTCCAGAGGACCCTGATTCAGCTTACAACAGTCTGTAATTTCAGTTAACACCCTCTTCAAACCTCAACAGGCACCAGGTATGCATTTGGTACACACACAAAAGCAAAATACTCGGGCACATAAATACTTCTAAAAACAAAACAAAACAAAACAAATTATTCCTCCTTCAACTGCACAGTGCAGGATCAACTTCAGAGCCATCAAGATGCCGAGCAGGGAAAGGCTTACCATGAAGGCTGAGTGTGACCCTTAGGAGCCACAGACAAGTGGAAGGAAAAAAAACAAAACAACGCTGAGTAATGATATATTTACTTATTTGGGTTTTTTTGAAACAGGGTTTCTCTGTATAGCCCTGGCTGTCCTGGAAGTCACTCTGTAGACCAGGCTGGCCTTGCACTCACAGAGATCCCCCTGCCTCTGCCTCCTGAGTGCTGAGATTAAAGGCAGGTGCCACCACCACCCGGCTTTATTTTATTTTTCAGTGTATCTGCTTCACACAAAGAGAGCTCTGGCCTTTATTCTGGCTCTTGGTCAAGGAGAACAGACCTGGAATTTGCCTGTTGTTTGACACCAGTACCTGGTCAGTAAGGGTTTTCCCAAGTGGTGAATGTGTCTCTAGCACTACAGGAACATTCCACTATGATATATGCTCATCTGGGCTTCAATGGGAGAACCTTCAAACATTTTTATTTTAAAAATTAAAAAAAAAAAAAAGCCAGGCACTAGTGGCACACGACTTTAATCCCAGCACTCAGGAGGCAAAGGCAGGAGGATCTCTGTGAG